TTGTTCCTCTCCAAAGTTAGGTCAGGGCTCAGAGTAATGGAGTACAGCACATCTGTAGTAAAGACTGCATTGGTGCCTTGCTAAAATTATTTCAGGAGGCTGGATGCTTGTCACAAATTTAAATGACAAATTTTAAACGAGTGTTTAGTGGTTAAGAGTTGGCTATGGAGGCTGAAATTGTCCCATTTGTTATAATGGCTTTATATACTCCTAGAATGACTGCGGGAACATAATTTTCTGGCACTAGAATCACTGGCTAACAATAAAAAAAGGACTTCAAAATAACCTCAGTGGCAATATACCTGTAAAAAAGTTGCACGGGCTTCTATATAAGTGGGTTACTAATTCAAATTACTGGAGGGTTTTGATGACACAGACCTTCCCTCTCCCTTCCCTTCCTTCACATCCCTAATTGGAGGCTATTTGTTAATAGTTACTCTTTGTAATTCAAGACAGTTGTCCCATACTTGATGATTGAAACTATATTTTTTGTAATTCCATTTGCAGAAATTGATCAATCACTACCAAAATAAACAGTGCATGTGTTTTGATTAATGCTAACATGTTTTGACTCCCAACATGTCAAATATCACTGTTTGGCCAGTGGACTTTCACTTCTACATGATGCATTAGATAACCTAGGTACGTCTGCTTTGTCAATGTCCGCTTGTTACATGCATTGTGTCATTTCAAGATACACGTTTGCTTTCACAGGAACAGTAAAATTTCTGCTCATAAGATGCATACAGTCTTTTTCAAAATAAACTCACAATGTTGGCAAAACACCTTCTATTTTTCTGTTTATTTCTTTGTGCAACAAACGTAGTTAGTTAGGTTTAGAAAAAGCATCATGGTTTGGTTCAACGTTCATATGGGAAGCAAACACCGGGCTCCTGGGTGAAAGTCCGGTGTTGTAGGACCCAACCACCACCCCTCCTGTCTGCCTCATAGGGACTCCCCAGCCCCTTAAATAACGTCATTGTCCGGCAGCATTTCATACTGACACGTCCGGTGCCTTTTTTTTTGTTTGTTGTCTGTGTCTAATGCTGAAATCACTAACAAAGCAGCTGTATTTGACAACTTTGAAATGAGAAAGTGTTTTCAATGCAGCTCCGAACAATGCAGACCTTGATGCTGACATCAACTCCATTACTGACGATGGAATACTAGTGTCACCTCATCAAGAATTTGTTAAACGTTTTATGCATTTGTTATGCTAACATGATTTGTATTCAGTTTCTTATTGTTTCAAGCAACAAGTGGAGTAAGCCACAAGATCAGTTGCATAACTGAATTCTGCTACGTGCAGTCGTCATGGTAGACACTTCATATATGTACATATNCAACCAAAGATGATTTAAATTAAATTATATTTTACTCTTTTAACAGCTGCTAAGTTAGTAAAAAAGGAAGTTAGTACAAAGTCTTAATAATTCTTGTGATAGCCAACAGCATGCTCTTGACCCTCGCCTTAGGGGCCTTTGTAATTTTAGTATGCTGTAAAGCCCTGTGAGGCAAATTGTGATTTGTGATATTGGGCTTTATAAATAAAATTGATTGATTGATTGATTGATTTACAATCTGTACAGCTAATGACACCCTCTGTTCCGAGACCCCTGATTTGGATAGTAAGAACTAAAAAAAAATCTTTACTACAGAGAAGAATGAAAGAAACTTAAGGAGGAGCAACAGAGTAGCGATCCTTCTCTCTGGATGGACAGATAACCAGCAACAGCTGGACAGCTCAGCAAAAACTTAAACATGAAACAAGCTTTTAACAATTTACAACAAAAAGCAACATTTATGCACATAATGTTTTATTCTCCACTATTGCTCTCCTTTTAAGACAGACAGAGAATAACTTATTTGTATATGAATTATTACCTTTGTTGGCAGGCTCATGCAAAAGGGTAGTTTATTAGGTGCCTGTGCTGCAGATGTGTTGCAACAATACATAAATGCTTAAAATATAGCTCATTTTTTTCAATAAGACACTCTATAATCAAAATTGGCACACGTTTAATGTGGTTAAAGCAGCAACATCACTAAAGCAGTCTGCATTGATCTACGAATAAACATGGGTAATTCTTACAGTATCTGCAGTCTACAGCTGCTGTTAGTCTGTATGAAAAACTTTTTCTTTCAGTTTATAAGAATCGTAGAGCATCTGAAGGCAGCAGCCCATAAGAAGCTCTGCATCAGAGTGCAGTGCCAATAAGCACATACATTCACTGTTTACCTTTATTAAATCACCTGAAAACAACACCAGGCTGCTTAACCATACAGACCTCTATACACATCAGACTGGTCGGTTATATCTTGATATTCTACTTTTCTTATGAAGAAGACACCCAGTAAAGGGGCTTATCAGAGCCTCTTTCTTTTTAGAGAAAGTATTGTCTCATGTTTTATCCTTGAAACACTATGCAGCGCAAATGCTGTCGTGTAACATTATTACTGAGCTATGCAACCATGTACGAAGTGAGACTCATTACATTTATGGCGATAATCAGGGGTGCTAAAATGCTAAGCTTTCTGTCTGTTGATCTTTTTATCACATTTAATGGTGGCACAGCTGTTTCAGAGCAATGACACCAGTGATGTGACTGGCTGAGAGAGTATTTGATAATCACCACACCTGCTGATCTAGGCTATATTCACCTCCATGAAGCCCTTTGCATGTTGTGCTGCCGCAGGTTTTTTTCCCCACTCATATATTTTTTTCTCCCCCATCTTTCTATCCCCGTCCATCTATTTTTTTCTCCATTATGTCCCCTTATGGACTCAGTAGATTTCACTTCACTTTCATTTCTGTGCTTATTTGTTTGACATATACTTACTGTCATACTGTTGGAACTTCCTTCATAAATTGCACAAGTGGAATGCAGCTGGGATTTATCTTGTAACAAAAGTAGGCAGTACATGATGAAATTGAGCCAAGATAGTGACAGATTATGAAATGACAGCCATTAAGTCCTGATTGTTCATTGGTAAGATGCCACATCATTGCTGAAGAAGGTATTGTCTCTGAGTCATGCAATTTGGTAGTAACATAGCACTCCATTATATAAAGGCATGGCAGTAAGGGATGGACACACAAAGTGAATTGCTTGAAATAGAAGTGCAAAACTAAAAAAGAAATTATGAGTCATTCATTAGGTTTAAAATGTTGTTGCATACCAGGTTTGGAGTGCTACGGGTATGCTGTTTTTTTTTTTTGTAGGCCAACAAAGTTGTTAATGTCGCCCTGGTTATTGGATTATTGCAGAAAAGAAGCTCCATGGCAAACAAAAGTTTATGATACTTTAGAAGTTTATGATACTTTATTAATGTTTATGATACTGCAATCACCAGAAGTAAAACGCTAATGTTTGGGCCACAAATGAACTACACTGTTTTACTGTCCTATGACTAACGTCACCACAACAAGGCTCTAAAACTGTGTTCAGCGTGATGATGTACTGAAGTCTCATTTAGCTTGTTTAAAAACAACTGCTTTTTTAAAATGTAATATCATGTAAGGGGTATTTACTGACATATTTTATGATGTAGGACAAAATGTGAAAGTTTCTTAAGCCTGTGATGACCAACGACCTTATTTCAGATACCAAACCAAAAACCCATTCAAAAAACCAGTTGACTTCAAGGAGGGAACCAGAGGTGCTAAAACTCATTATCAGAGTTTTAGGACACATTCCTGCACCACTCTGTGACCCAATTCATTTCAGACTAGCTGCTCAGGTTGTGTCAGCGAGGACACCTCATCAAAACAGTTTAAGTATGTGCTTTGGACACACCTTTGGTCTTTGTTCTGACATCTCTTCAAACAAAACTACGGTCGAAGCCACATTAGCAGTTAGGTGAGGCTGTTCTGTGCCACTGTGGTGCTGCTACATAAATTCTAGCATGCAACACAGCTGAAACTTATAGGAATGTCAATTTTAAATGTAGTTGTTCATGAACAATTTTAGCCTGATGACGGTTTTGAATGAAAAGTGAAGGGATCACGAAAAGTTAATAGAGTTCATCCTGAGGCATACATAAATGTCCATATCAGATCATTATATAGATAATGAAAAATATAATTTAAAACTACATACATTAACCTCAAGGTGGCACTAGAGCATCACAACAAAGTCAGAGAGCTTCCTCCAGCAGGGACATAAGTACCCGGTTGAACTGGAATCTGTCCAATAGTTGTTTAGATATTTCAGTATGGACAAAAATTGTGGACCACCATCAGACCAACATTGCCATCATTGAAACTGTGTGACTCCTTGTTGTGTTGAGTATATGTTTTTGGTGACTCGACAAACAGAAACCTATCTAGGAAATATATGCAAACATACTGTACTTTTTGAAATGCCTTTAAACATGTGGAGCAGACGAAAGGGTTGTTGAATTAATTAACATAAAAAACAAAACAAAAACAACAACCTGAAATTGGTGTGAAAAAAATGCCATCAAAAAAGTTTTTGGGACTTTACGAGGTGCAAAGCAGATTTATATTACATGTTGGCTGTTAATATTCTGCTGTTGTAAGTAACTGTACCAGCTGATTCTACAGGTTCGAAAGCAAGAGTGTTGGACAAGATGGGTGTCCGACCCATCTTATCAATATTTCTGATATTGATGGGTAAGTAAGCAAATATGGAAATTAATGAATTGAAAGACATTGCTAAAAAGAAGTTATTTGAAAACATTCAACATATTTTGTCAAAAAAGAGCATACTGACGTTTTATCTACAACCACTCATGTAAAACACCTGTAGTCCCAACAACGACTACTGAGTCAACAACAGCTGGCTTCAACACAGCTCCCTCAGAAGTCAGTGCTAAGAAAACATTTAATACATTGACCTAAATTTCCCTCCAGTAAATATTAAAGCTGGAACACACTGCAGGAAAAATTTCCCTGGTGTCATCAACCACTGTCTTACAATACCTGTAGTACCACCAATGACTGCTGAGCCAACAACAACCGCTGAGCCAACAACAACCGCTGAGCCAACCACAACTGGCTTCACCGCAGCTCCCACTGAAGTTGTGCTTCTCAAAGCAACCTTGGAAGAAGAGTTTGTACCAGAACTCAATGATCCAAGCAGTGAACAATACAGAGAGCTTGAAGAACAAGTGGTAGAAACGGTAAGTAACACTTAGAGTTACAGGTAACATTTGTTGCTCCCTGGTGTGACTTTGCCCTGCTGTTTGACTTTCTTTGAAAAACACTGTAATATTACTATGCTTAATGTTCCTCATTTTTCTTTCCTGCTTACAGTGTGACTTCATCTTCCGTCAAAGCTTTGAGTCTACGTTCATCGGCACTGTTGTCTCGGAATTTGGGTAATATTCTACATCTTGAAAATCTCTTGCTTAGGCTGCATCGTCATTACTACAAAACTAGGTTGACGAACACGGTCAATAGAAAAAAGTCTTCAAAGTGTTGGAGCAAAATGAAAATCAAAAATTTGATCAAACAAAAAGTCGAGAAAACCTGCTGTAATTTTACAACATAAGAACTGACTGAGATGTGCTTTTACCACGCAAGGTCAAACATGGGAAACGTGGAGGTGGAGGTGGAGCTCGAGTTCAACACCACGGCATCACCGATCCCAGAGGCTGATTTGGTTGTAAACACCTTGAAAAGAGCTGCGAATGACTCCAACAACCCCTTCAACATCACTATTAATCCTAACTCCATTGAAGTCACGGGTAAGCAAACTTTTCATACATGGGGCTAAATTTCCCTCCAGTAAATATTAAAGCTTGAAAATGCAGCGAGTAATACATCCTTTTGTCGTCAACCACTGTCTTACAATACCTGTAGTACCAACAACGACCGCTGAGCCAACAACAACCGCTGAGCCAACCACAACTGGCTTCACCGCAGCTCCCACTGAAGTTGTGCTTCTCAAAGCAACTTTGGAAGAAGAGTTTGTACCAGAACTCAATGATCCAGACAGTGAACAATACAGAGAGCTTGAAGAACAAGTGGTAGAAACGGTAAGTAACACTTAGAGTTACAGGTAACATTTGTTGCTCCCTGGTGTGACTTTGCCCTGCCGTTTGACTTTCTTTGAAAAACACTGTAATATTACTATGATTAATGTTCCTCATTTTTCTTTCCTGCTTACAGTGTGACTTCATCTTCCGTCAAAGCTTTGAGTCTACGTTCATCCGCACTATTGTCTTGGAATTTAGGTAATATTCCACATCTTGAAAGTCTCTTGCTTAGGCTGCATCGTCATGACAACAAAACTAGGTTGACGAACACGGTCAATCGAAATGAAGTCTTCAAAGTGTTGGACCATTTGATCAAACAAAAAGTCAAGAAAACCTGCTGTAATTTTACAACATAAGAATTGACTGAGATGTGCTTTTACCACGCAAGGTCAAACATGGGAAACGTGGAGGTGGAGGTGGAGCTCGAGTTCAACACCACGGTATCACCAACCCCAGAGGCTGATTTGGTTGTAACCACCTTGAAAAGAGCTGTGAATGACTCCAACAACCCCTTCAACCTCACTATTGATCCTAACTCCATTGAAGTTATACGTAAGTAAACACTTGTAAACACAAAGTAATCACAACAAAATATCTGACATTCTTCAAGATCCCGTGCAAAAACAATAGGTGCAATTAGCAATGGGTATTAAAATAGTTGTTAGCTTCAATAATTTAATAACTATAATCACCAAAATGATTCCTGAATCATTTTTTGATTACTCTTTGTAATATTATTTGGTCGATAAAGAGCATATCCTGCGAATATTACTTGAAGAAACGTGACTATCAATCTGACTAGTGTGGGGTACTTTTTATATCCAAACAGTGTTGATATGTATCTGTATCCTTGAAAGGTCTTTTGGCTACCATCAGTTTTTTTTCCTTTGATGCTGCCCAGCCTCACCAAGTATGATAACCAGGTTTAAGTGATTGTGGTGTAACGTACCTATCTGTCTAAACCAAGTAAGTATTGTTCATGGATAATTCTTAAGCATTCTTAATGTTTTTACAGAAACTCCAAGTACAACAAGTTCACCAACTACAGCCCAAAATCCAACTGCTACAGCTACTGCAGCCACAACTAGTAGTGCTTCAACTGCTGTAGCTACAATCACAAGAACAGCAACTACTGCATCTCCAGGGTCAACAAATACTGATGGATCAACTACACTTACTGGGTCAACTTCAACTGCTGGACCAACACATACTGATGGATCACATACAACTGATGGGTCAACTTCAACAGCTGGTTCAACACATACTGATACATCAGCTACAACTGGTGGGTCAACTTCAGCGGTTGCACAAACAAGTACCTCTGGATCAACCACAACCGGTGGGTCAGCTTCAACTGCTCCGTCAACACATACTGATGTATCTAGTGGGTCAACTTCAACCACTGGGCCAACAGGTACTGATGGATCAACTACAACTGGTGGGTCAACTTCAGCGGCTGGGTCAACACATACTGATGGACCAACTACAGCTGGTGGGTCAACTTCAAACATCGGGCCAACAAGCACTGCTAGATCAACTACAACTAGTGGGTCAACTTCAACCACTGGGCCAACAAGTACTGCTAGATCAACTACAACTAGTGGGTCAACTTCAGCCACTGGGCCAACAAGTACTGCTAGATCAACTACAACTAGTGGGTCAACTTCAACCACTGAGCCAACACGTACTGATGGATCAACTACAACTGGTGGGTCAACTTCAGTGGCTGGGTCAACACATACTGATGGGTCAACTACAACTGGTGGGTCAACTGCAAAAGCTGGGTCACCTGCTACAACTGCTGCTGCTACAACCTCAACTACAGCAACTCCTGCATCTTCATTTACAACTGCTACGACTGCTATAGCACCCACAACTGTTGCAGCTACAACTGCTGCTGCTACAACCTCAACTACACCAACTACTGCTGTGGGGTCAACTGGTCCTTCAGTTACAACTAATGGTGTAACAGTTACCACTGCTGACTCGTCAGTTGTTGTTCTAGCAGCAAACTTGGAAGAACCTTTTGTGGAAGAACTAAATAATCCAAACAGTGTACAATACAGAACACTTGAAAGACAAGTTGTAACAGCAGTGAGTACTGTCTCTTACTTATACATAATTTTAATTATATTTTATCTTAATTTGCTATGTTTACATTTGGGGACATTTCCAGTTAACTGTTTTTTTTCTCAATTTTATTTCCCTTTTACAGTGTGACATCATCTACAGGGCAAGATTTGGTTTGCGTTTCATCCGCACCATTCTCCTAAGATTTAGGTAATATTTCAAGCCTGGAAAGCATTCGTCACAATACACTTTTACTCAGAATTTAAGAGTACATTGTAGTGTCTGGTCTTCAATAACAGAATAGTGTGGATGACAAAAAATTATGTAAAAATATCTGGAAATATCACGTGATTAAGTTGATTAAGATTAAGTTGTGTGTGTGTGTGTGNAGCTCCCACTGAAGTTGTGCTTCTCAAAGCAACCTTGGAAGAAGAGTTTGTACCAGAACTCAATGATCCAGACAGTGAACAATACAGAGAGCTTGAAGAACAAGTGGTAGAAACGGTAAGTAACACTTAGAGTTACAGGTAACATTTGTTGCTCCCTGGTGTGACTTTGCCCTGCCGTTTGACTTTCTTTGAAAAACACTGTAATATTACTATGATTAATGTTCCTCATTTTTCTTTCCTGCTTACAGTGTGACTTCATCTTCCGTCAAAGCTTTGAGTCTACGTTCATCGGCACTGTTGTCTCGGAATTTGGGTAATATTCTACATCTTGAAAATCTCTTGCTTAGGCTGCATCGTCATTACTACAAAACTAGGTTGACGAACACGGTCAATAGAAAAAAGTCTTCAAAGTGTTGGAGCAAAATGAAAATCAAAAATTTGATCAAACAAAAAGTCGAGAAAACCTGCTGTAATTTTACAACATAAGAACTGACTGAGATGTGCTTTTACCACGCAAGGTCAAACATGGGAAACGTGGAGGTGGAGGTGGAGCTCGAGTTCAACACTACGGCATCACCGATCCCAGAGGCTGATTTGGTTGTAAACACCTTGAAAAGAGCTGCGAATGACTCCAACAACCCCTTCAACATCACTATTAATCCTAACTCCATTGAAGTCACGGGTAAGCAAACTTTTCATACATGGGGCTAAATTTCCCTCCAGTAAATATTAAAGCTTGAAAATGCAGCGAGTAATACATCCTTTTGTCGTCAACCACTGTCTTACAATACCTGTAGTACCAACAACGACCGCTGAGCCAACAACAACCGCTGAGCCAACCAGAACTGGCTTCACCGCAGCTCCCACTGAAGTTGTGCTTCTCAAAGCAACTTTGGAAGAAGAGTTTGTACCAGAACTCAATGATCCAAGCAGTGAACAATACAGAGAGCTTGAAGAACAAGTGGTAGAAACGGTAAGTAACACTTAGAGTTACAGGTAACATTTGTTGCTCCCTGGTGTGACTTTGCCCTGCCGTTTGACTTTCTTTGAAAAACACTGTAATATTACTATGATTAATGTTCCTCATTTTTCTTTCCTGCTTACAGTGTGACTTCATCTTCCGTCAAAGCTTTGAGTCTACATTCATCGGCACTGTTGTCTCGGAATTTGGGTAATATTCTACATCTTGAAAATCTCTTGCTTAGGCTGCATCGTCATTACTACAAAACTAGGCTGACGAACACGGTCAATAGAAATAAAGTCTTCAAAGTGTTGGAGCAAAATGAAAATCAAAAATTTGATCAAACAAAAAGTCGAGAAAACCTGCTGTAATTTTACAACATAAGAATTGACTGAGATGTGCTTTTGCCACGCAAGGTCAAACATGGGAAACGTGGAGGTGGAGGTGGAGCTCGAGTTCAACACCACGGTATCACCAACCCCAGAGGCTGATTTGGTTGTAACCACCTTGAAAAGAGCTGTGAATGACTCCAACAACCCCTTCAACCTCACTATCGATCCTAACTCCATTGAAGTTATACGTAAGTAAACACTTGTAAACACAAAGTAATCACAACAAAATATCTGACATTCTTCAAGATCTCATGCAAAAACAATAGGTGCAATTAGCAATGGGTATTAAAATAGTTGTTAGCTTCAATAATTTAATAACTATAATCACCAAAATGATTCCTGAATCATTTTTTGATTACTCTTTGTAATATTATTTGGTCGATAAAGAGCATATCCTGCGAATATTACTTGAAGAAACGTGACTATCAATCTGACTAGTGTGGGGTACTTTTTATATCCAAACAGTGTTGATATGTATCTGTATCCTTGAAAGGTCTTTTGGCTACCATCAGTTTTTTTTCCTTTGATGCTGCCCAGCCTCACCAAGTATGATAACCAGGTTTAAGTGATTGTGGTGTAACGTACCTATCTGTCTAAACCAAGTAAGTATTGTTCATGGATAATTCTTAAGCATTCTTAATGTTTTTACAGAAACTCCAAGTACAACAAGTTCACCAACTACAGCCCAAAATCCAACTGCTACAGCTACTGCAGCCACAACTAGTAGTGCTTCAACTGCTGTAGCTACAATCACAAGAACAGCAACTACTGCATCTCCAGGGTCAACAAATACTGATGGATCAACTACACTTACTGGGTCAACTTCAACTGCTGGACCAACACATACTGATGGATCACATACAACTGATGGGTCAACTTCAACAGCTGGTTCAACACATACTGATACATCAGCTACAACTGGTGGGTCAACTTCAGCGGTTGCACAAACAAGTACCTCTGGATCAACCACAACCGGTGGGTCAGCTTCAACTGCTCCGTCAACACATACTGATGTATCTAGTGGGTCAACTTCAACCACTGGGCCAACAGGTACTGATGGATCAACTACAACTGGTGGGTCAACTTCAGCGGCTGGGTCAACACATACTGATGGACCAACTACAGCTGGTGGGTCAACTTCAAACATCGGGCCAACAAGCACTGCTAGATCAACTACAACTAGTGGGTCAACTTCAACCACTGGGCCAACAAGTACTGCTAGATCAACTACAACTAGTGGGTCAACTTCAGCCACTGGGCCAACAAGTACTGCTAGATCAACTACAACTAGTGGGTCAACTTCAACCACTGAGCCAACACGTACTGATGGATCAACTACAACTGGTGGGTCAACTTCAGTGGCTGGGTCAACACATACTGATGGGTCAACTACAACTGGTGGGTCAACTGCAAAAGCTGGGTCACCTGCTACAACTGCTGCTGCTACAACCTCAACTACAGCAACTCCTGCATCTTCATTTACAACTGCTACGACTGCTATAGCACCCACAACTGTTGCAGCTACAACTGCTGCTGCTACAACCTCAACTACACCAACTACTGCTGTGGGGTCAACTGGTCCTTCAGTTACAACTAATGGTGTAACAGTTACCACTGCTGACTCGTCAGTTGTTGTTCTAGCAGCAAACTTGGAAGAACCTTTTGTGGAAGAACTAAATAATCCAAACAGTGTACAATACAGAACACTTGAAATACAAGTTGTAACAGCAGTGAGTACTGTCTCTTACTTATACATAATTTTAATTATATTTTATCTTAATTTGCTATGTTTACATTTGGGGACATTTCCAGTTAACTGTTTTTTTTCTCAATTTTATTTCCCTTTTACAGTGTGACATCATTTACAGGGCAAGATTTGGTTTGCGTTTCATCCGCACCATTCTCCTAAGATTTAGGTAATATTTCAAGCCTGGAAAGCATTCGTCACAATACACTTTTACTCAGAATTTAAGAGTACATTGTAGTGTCTGGTCTTCAATAACAGAATAGTGTGGATAACAAAAATGTATGTAAAAATATCTGGAAATATCACGTGATTAAGTTGATTAAGATTAAGTTGTGTGTGTGTGTGTGTGTGTGTGTTATTTTTAAATGCAGTCGTGTTGTAGCAAGGACACGAACTGAGAAGACTAGAGCAGAGGTGGGACTGGAGTTCAACCAAACAGAGGAAATCCCACAGGATGATGCTGTTGTAGACACCTTAGTACAAGCTGTGACTAACTCCAGCAACAACTTCAGCCTCACTGTTGATCCCAAAAGTGTTGAAGTTATAGGTAAGTAAACACTTGTTCAAATGTTGATTTAGCCATCGATAAAACTGTCACCAAGTCATCTGTGTGTGTGTGTGTGTGTGTGTGTGTGTGTTCACAGTAATCACTACAAAATATCTGACATTCTTCAAGATCCCGTGCAAAAACAATAGATCCAAATAACAATGGGTGTTAGAATAGTTTTAGTAAATCAATAACTATAANACAACCCCTTCAACATCACTATTAATCCTAACTCCATTGAAGTCACGGGTAAGCAAACTTTTCATACATGGGGCTAAATTTCCCTCCAGTAAATATTAAAGCTTGAAAATGCAGCGAGTAATACATCCTTTTGTCGTCAACCACTGTCTTACAATACCTGTAGTACCAACAACGACCGCTGAGCCAACAACAACCGCTGAGCCAACCAGAACTGGCTTCACCGCAGCTCCCACTGAAGTTGTGCTTCTCAAAGCAACTTTGGAAGAAGAGTTTGTACCAGAACTCAATGATCCAAGCAGTGAACAATACAGAGAGCTTGAAGAACAAGTGGTAGAAACGGTAAGTAACACTTAGAGTTACAGGTAACATTTGTTGCTCCCTGGTGTGACTTTGCCCTGCCGTTTGACTTTCTTTGAAAAACACTGTAATATTACTATGATTAATGTTCCTCATTTTTCTTTCCTGCTTACAGTGTGACTTCATCTTCCGTCAAAGCTTTGAGTCTACATTCATCGGCACTGTTGTCTCGGAATTTGGGTAATATTCTACATCTTGAAAATCTCTTGCTTAGGCTGCATCGTCATTACTACAAAACTAGGCTGACGAACACGGTCAATAGAAATAAAGTCTTCAAAGTGTTGGAGCAAAATGAAAATCAAAAATTTGATCAAACAAAAAGTCGAGAAAACCTGCTGTAATTTTACAACATAAGAATTGACTGAGATGTGCTTTTGCCACGCAAGGTCAAACATGGGAAACGTGGAGGTGGAGGTGGAGCTCGAGTTCAACACCACGGTATCACCAACCCCAGAGGCTGATTTGGTTGTAACCACCTTGAAAAGAGCTGTGAATGACTCCAACAACCCCTTCAACCTCACTATCGATCCTAACTCCATTGAAGTTATACGTAAGTAAACACTTGTAAACACAAAGTAATCACAACAAAATATCTGACATTCTTCAAGATCTCATGCAAAAACAATAGGTGCAATTAGCAATGGGTATTAAAATAGTTGTTAGCTTCAATAATTTAATAACTATAATCACCAAAATGATTCCTGAATCATTTTTTGATTACTCTTTGTAATATTATTTGGTCGATAAAGAGCATATCCTGCGAATATTACTTGAAGAAACGTGACTATCAATCTGACTAGTGTGGGGTACTTTTTATATCCAAACAGTGTTGATATGTATCTGTATCCTTGAAAGGTCTTTTGGCTACCATCAGTTTTTTTTCCTTTGATGCTGCCCAGCCTCACCAAGTATGATAACCAGGTTTAAGTGATTGTGGTGTAACGTACCTATCTGTCTAAACCAAGTAAGTATTGTTCATGGATAATTCTTAAGCATTCTTAATGTTTTTACAGAAACTCCAAGTACAACAAGTTCACCAACTACAGCCCAAAATCCAACTGCTACAGCTACTGCAGCCACAACTAGTAGTGCTTCAACTGCTGTAGCTACAATCACAAGAACAGCAACTACTGCATCTCCAGGGTCAACAAATACTGATGGATCAACTACACTTACTGGGTCAACTTCAACTGCTGGACCAACACATACTGATGGATCACATACAACTGATGGGTCAACTTCAACAGCTGGTTCAACACATACTGATACATCAGCTACAACTGGTGGGTCAACTTCAGCGGTTGCACAAACAAGTACCTCTGGATCAACCACAACCGGTGGGTCAGCTTCAACTGCTCCGTCAACACATACTGATGTATCTAGTGGGTCAACTTCAACCACTGGGCCAACAGGTACTGATGGATCAACTACAACTGGTGGGTCAACTTCAGCGGCTGGGTCAACACATACTGATGGACCAACTACAGCTGGTGGGTCAACTTCAAACATCGGGCCAACAAGCACTGCTAGATCAACTACAACTAGTGGGTCAACTTCAACCACTGGGCCAACAAGTACTGCTAGATCAACTACAACTAGTGGGTCAACTTCAGCCACTGGGCCAACAAGTACTGCTAGATCAACTACAACTAGTGGGTCAACTTCAACCACTGAGCCAACACGTACTGATGGATCAACTACAACTGGTGGGTCAACTTCAGTGGCTGGGTCAACACATACTGATGGGTCAACTACAACTGGTGGGTCAACTGCAAAAGCTGGGTCACCTGCTACAACTGCTGCTGCTACAACCTCAACTACAGCAACTCCTGCATCTTCATTTACAACTGCTACGACTGCTATAGCACCCACAACTGTTGCAGCTACAACTGCTGCTGCTACAACCTCAACTACACCAACTACTGCTGTGGGGTCAACTGGTCCTTCAGTTACAACTAATGGTGTAACAGTTACCACTGCTGACTCGTCAGTTGTTGTTCTAGCAGCAAACTTGGAAGAACCTTTTGTGGAAGAACTAAATAATCCAAACAGTGTACAATACAGAACACTTGAAAGACAAGTTGTAACAGCAGTGAGTACTGTCTCTTACTTATACATAATTTTAATTATATTTTATCTTAATTTGCTATGTTTACATTTGGGGACATTTCCAGTTAACTGTTTTTTTTCTCAATTTTATTTCCCTTTTACAGTGTGACATCATCTACAGGGCAAGATTTGGTTTGCGTTTCATCCGCACCATTCTCCTAAGATTTAGGTAATATTTCAAGCCTGGAAAGCATTCGTCACAATACACTTTTACTCAGAATTTAAGAGTACATTGTAGTGTCTGGTCTTCAATAACAGAATAGTGTGGATGACAAAAAATTATGTAAAAATATCTGGAAATATCACGTGATTAAGTTGATTAAGATTAAGTTGTGTGTGTGTGTGTGTGTGTGTGTTATTTTTAAATGCAGTCGTGTTGTAGCAAGGACACGAACTGAGAAGACTAGAGCAGAGGTGGGACTGGAGTTCAACCAAACAGAGGAAATCCCACAGGATGATGCTGTTGTAGACACCTTAGTACAAGCTGTGACTAACTCCAGCAACAACTTCAGCCTCACTGTTGATCCCAAAAGTGTTGAAGTTATAGGTAAGTAAACACTTGTTCAAATGTTGATTTAGCCATCGATAAAACTGTCACCAAGTCATCTGTGTGTGTGTGTGTGTGTGTGTGTGTGTGTTCACAGTAATCACTACAAAATATCTGACATTCTTCAAGATCCCGTGCAAAAACAATAGATCCAAATAACAATGGGTGTTAGAATAGTTTTAGTAAATCAATAACTATAATCACCAAAATGATTCCAGTATCATTTCTTGGTTTTATTTCTCAATATCATGATTTACAAAGTCGACAGTGATGTATATCAATTAGACTAGTGATGCTTTTTTATACCTAAAGTGTTGATATATATCTGTATCCTTGAAAGGTCTTTTGGCTACCATCAGTTTTTTTTCCTTTGATGCTGCCCAGCCTTACCAAGTGTGAAAACCAGGTTTAAGTGATTGTGGTGTAACATACCTATCTGCCAAACTAAGTAAGTAATGTTCACGGATAATTTTTAAAGTCTCAAGCATTCTTATTGTTTTTACAGCAACTCCAAATACAACAAGTTCACCAACTACAGCCCAAAATCCAACTGCTACAGCTACTGCAGCCACAACTGCTCCAGCTACAACTGCTGCAGCTACAACTGCTGCAGCCACAACTGCTGCAGCCACAACCGCTGCAGTCACAACTGCTGCAGCCACAACTGCTGCAGTCACAACTGCTGCAGCTGCAACTGCTGCAGCCACAACTGCTGCAGCCACAACTGCTGCAGCTGCAACTGCTGCAGCCACAACTGCTGCAGTCACAACTGCTGCAGCCACAACTGCTGCAGTCACAACTGCTGCAGCCGCAACTGCTGCAGCTGCAACTGCTGCAGCCACAACTGCTGCAGCCACAACTGCTGCAG